TAATGCATAATTTATAATGCAATCAATATTGTCTTGTAGAGCAGTTGAACCGTGCGCTTTATGAAATTGTATGTATTTACTTTATTCTAATTTAAATTTCAAAATAGACGTGTTATAACAAAGCTAGCGGTAGAGCGGAGCGGTAAACCGCGATGGAACAATAAAACTGCGCGCGCGTCTGGCGCCGAGTCGCTCCAGTTGTTCGCGTCTGGCCTCTGGCACGGCACAGAGCAAAATCTTAAGCTTGCAGCTAAAGGCGTCCCCTGTACAACTGCTCGCTGAAGTTACACCACCGACCGTGTCCAATTTAAGCAAGAAATTCCACAATGAATAGACGTGCGCGGTGGGTGGTTAGGTGCCTCCAAAGACAAATTAATTACCTAACTGATCTGTCAACGGCACGTGCTCCGGCGACTAAAACCTGTTGCGACCTCTGCTGCTGTTGTTGTTGGGCATTTCTCTTTTTGTCCGTTTTTAGAAAATCGTCTAGTTAGGCCTGCATTTTGGTAAATCCACATCCATTTTATAGCACGTATCTATGAAGCTCTTCGATCAACAATTGTATAGATAACGAGTCAGCGCGTTATCTATACAATTGTTGTCCTTCTCGGTAAATATAGCCTCACTTGAGGTGTGAGATCTTATTTTAAATAGTTCGGTTTATACAAAACAAGGTACACGCTGGTCAATGACTGGTAACAATATTTTATTTTGTGAGTCATAAGGTTGATTTGACATTTTCCTTTTTTCAGTTTTAGGTATCGTTTTTTTCCAAATATCAGATATAATTTATAAAATGAACAAGAGTTCGTTTTATAAGATAAAAGTTCGTACGTGCGAAATAACATTTTGTTATTCCTTTGTGAGATAGTTGTTATTAGGTTCAACATAAACTGTTTTAGACCATTTATCTTTGTTCATTGGGAATCGAATGTAGCTGCATAAGTTGAAACATACGCGGACAGTTTTTAGCTTTGATTTTGTATGCAACACGTTATCTATAGAATTGTTGATCGCAGATGAAGCTAAAGAAACAATGTTTTTCGAATATATAAAACGTCAGACACGCAATGTCCCCAGCCGTGAAAATGACAGTTTTTCTTTTTCTGCACGATCTCCAACAAGTTTATTAAATTTTATTTATTGAATTACCTACTTCATATTTACAGACTTTCTGAGCTCGGACAATTTTAAATTCCAGTGACGTAGACAGCAGACGAGAGCAGAGGGCTCGTGACGTGATCAATTGGATAACTCGTAAACAGTAGGCGTCCCTTAGTCTATAAATGTGCTTTTACGTCGCGTGCTATATATAGGCTCTCTGTTTTGACACCAAATATTACCTGCCTACACCGAAACGACACACACACCCCTGAATTAGATGTAAACATCTAACTAAAGCACCGCGAGTACCAAGAATATTTATACCGTTTTAATAACTGAGTTGTAGTGTTTCATTATTCTTTTGCTCTATTCTTCTGCGACTATTTTATCGATAGACACATTTATTGATCCAAACAATCGGTATTATGTGAATGTATCATCTTTAATTCGACCAATCAGTGCCATTTGTTGACTTTGTCTCGATAAAGAGTAATTATTAATTACGCAATAAGATTAACGAACGGCGTCTTATAAATAGAACATGATTCGTAATAAATCTCTGCTGAAACTATACACAGCTTTAGTTTGGTATAGAGTAAACATAGTTTCGGTGACACTACGGTGCGCCTATTTATACAATTTATCTTGTGTTTTGGATCTCTTACACATCGGTGCATAGTGTCTCGGCAGCTGCAGGCAGCGTGCTTTGTCAACTATTTTGTAAATATTATCTATTAAACAAGATGCTGACGTACCTCAAACATGTAAGAAATACTTAGACATACGTTTATAACATTGATCGATATGTATTTATGTATTTACCACACACACTCAATTACAATAGTTATTGCCGACAGCTTCGCCGCATTCTTTGCTGGCCTCCTTTTTATACGACTTTTTATATTTTTGTATGACTTTATTGTTTATCCCTGTCCTTATATTTATGTCAAATGGTCTAATAGTTATTTATGCATCTGTTGTATAATGTGGGGTATTAAAACACGAATGTGGGTTTATTTCCATACCCAAATCTAAGCTTACAGCTTTTCTATTTTCTTACATTATTTTCTATTATAATACACTCATCCTTCATCTCTGAAGATATTACAATAAACCATAAAGAGAGTATTTCACATTTATTATGCTATAAAAATAGTTTAGGCCACCTCATAACATTTAACACACGCGACTGACATGCTTTAAAACTTAAAACAAGGATGTGAAAATGCCAATATAAAAATAACATCCGCTGTTTACGAGACATTTCTTTCGAGTTGAAAATTATTTTTGCTCTCTATTGACCGCGAAACGACGACTTAATGGATTGCCCGCGTTCTGTTCTCAACTTTTCAAACAAAATCATTATTAAGAAATACTCCACATAAAAAAAAGTAAATCTATTCCGGGCTAGATTCATAATACCTAACATTATGTTTATGTCTTCCGGTATCGTTTAACGGCTTAGCTTTGTAGGAAGACATAACTCAATTAAATTGACGTTAAACTTCAAGTATGACAATCTGACACTTCGCGTCGTTAGCGGAGTTTGTGAAGCGTTGACACAATTCGCGATCAAGTTGAGAATCCTTATGCAATTTTATTTATTATGTGGCACGACATCAAACGAAAGTTTTTCGAGCTTTCCGTTCTCGTATTGGAAAACATTCGAGCATCGAGTGCATTTTAAATTATTACAGCTACACGGCTCATGCTAAAGTGTTGTTTGGGACGATATCAAAGGCCATGCAAAAGAAAATACTAATTTAAAAAGGTCATATTGCGACTTGCAATAGCAAAAGCAATTTAGTTTTGATTGCTTTTCCTGCTTGCTTTACCGACTAATATATGCAGTTATGTATAATAGGTATATACATACCAGTTAATGCAGATGTAATTTCAATTGTTTTAAATATGTTAGGTCTAATTGCAACAATTTTGCTAAATCGTAATTTAACTAAAACTAGTTATAGTCCACACAATAATCTCCAATTGACATTGAAGTTTTACATTATTCTATGGGATAGATCTAACTTGAATCGAAATTTAGCAAATTTGCTGCAAGTGGGGCTTTTTTGTTTCAAAAAAAGCGACAAGTACACGATGCGACGTCATCGGTCGCCTAGCGTTTATAATAATAATAAAGAGGGGCACAGGTCGCCAATCGACCTTGGCTTTATTTCGAGCTTGGCTTTATTTCGGCACGGCGATGGCCCATCGATCGTGCGAATCTGGAGCAGCTTGTTTGGCACCTGTGATGCACTATCGCCTCGGCCGGCCAGTAATTGCAAGATCTATATACCAACTGTGCCTATTTTTGCAGAGCCAATGACAGAAATTGTGGGTCAATTCAATATTACCGACTTGTTTGATTGTATTATTTCACATTTGGTTTTGATTTTGATCTCCATATTTATCTTGGCAGTCATTTTAATAAATAAATAAACCTATATGACCATTACTGAATCAAACGTTTTAAAAAGATTTGTTGTTTTCTAAAATGAACTAAGTAACTTAAAAAAATAATTCGTGCTTACATATTTATTATGTAAACTTTATTCAAACTTTACTCCAAAAATAAAATAATTTATCCTCATAGGCACACTCATTCTCCTATCGCATGACGACATCATCGCCCAGCCGTTCGCATGGCGACAAAGCAGCTTGTATAGCTCACAATGACCTAGTAACAGCCGTTTCGAGTCGACAATTAGTAACACAAATGTGTAACAGCGTCTGGTCTGGCGGCTACGTAACAGTTGACGTTTTAATACGATTAGCAACAAAACAAAGTTTACATCAGTACGCAGTTCGAAATTGAAACTTGAATACTTTGAACTCGGAGGACATTAAAACAACCCGAAGCAATATTTTGTGAATTAATCACTCCTATATTTTTAGACCGTTTGGCTGATGTACAGTCAATTAATTTTCTACTCGACTGAAAGTTTTACTTGTAATGCCGATGACCGCCCGCGCTCGGGCTGCTGGCCTCCTCCAACCAAAATACACCCCGTTTGCAATACGAAACTCTGGAAACTTCATAAACTTCTAAAGTTATGCTCCCGACTGTTACATTTCTTATGCCCATTAACGGTTAATATTCCACTATTTCAAAACCGTACTATTAACTCTAGTACCTACCTATTCGTTTCTTCATAAACTTTTCAAAGCCATCTTTTTGATAGACTGTTATGATATTATAAGTCCTAATTTTTAGGCAACAATAAAAAATATAAAACACAGTATTTCAGTATAATTTATTTCCATGCCCGCGTGTAAATAATTGGAGCAGATAAAAAAAAAACTGAAGCAGCTGTTATTGCTAATATTTTTTTTGTAATTATTTTGTATTCGTCTTTGTGTAAACGTTTCGGCCTGTCTAATTAGTAGATAGTCTATTGTATAAGGGCGAGTAATTTGGTCTAGTGGCGCACCGAGTAATTACTAAATACTTCGTTATCTTCACCGATAACATAAAGTGACATTGGGCCAAATTTCTAGCTACCAGACGCTAACAGCAACAAGGTGACCGACTCGTGCGTTGACATTCAGACGCCTTTAGCTCAGATTGTTTCGCAAAGTGTCTGCTGAAACACGGTCGGACAAAAAAAAAACACGCAAATTTATTAGACAATAGAACTCAATGAACCTACACAATTGTTAATAATATTAATTAGTGCATATCCTGACAGGAGTAACCAAACCACTGTCTGGGCGCTTTTAAAGTTATTTTAGCGTTTTACTTATTATTTGACCAAAGGAATCACATCATTTCAAAAGTATTATTGCCACTTGCTGCTAAGAAAAAAATCTTTATTTTCATGGTGAGGAAAGCCTGATAGATTTTAATTATTTCTAAAATTCTTAGTAAGTTCCATCACTTGTGGAATTATAGGATGTTGGCTGGAATCCGAGGATCCAGAATTCATAATCATCCTGTCCTGGCCGAATGCCGCTCCGAATTGTTACGAATGGATGTCAAACTCAGCGGATGTAGGCAGGTATATTGAAATGAGATACGCTGTGCATATAATCACAAATATTGCTAATAACATTTTTGTCATTTAACATTGAAGAGTGAACCATTGTCTTGATATTAGTGAACTAAGTAAAGTTATTTCCTCAATAATGTTTGCTGAGCAAAGTTCATTGATATGTTACCAAGTAAATAACACCAAAGATATGCCAACATATGATTAAACAAAAACTTATTATTAAAGGACAATGTTAAAATTGGCCTAAGAAGCAACACCAATTTGGCATTTATGATAATTCTTAGTATATTTTTTGCGATAATTATCAGTATTTAGATTGTGACGGACACATCCAGTTAAGTAAACTAAATTAAAAGGATAATAAATAATCTGAGACAATAAATACCATTTTATGTGTATAATCTATGACAGCGCTGCAAACAAAACACTCATTCTTCCTAATGCCGGCACTTCACTTGGCTATTCGTATTTGCTATTTAAAAACATGACATCAGTCTGTCCTTTTCATTCCATATTGAGCATGACAAGGACAAACTGTTGTCAAGTGGAGGGCCGGCATAAACTCGATACTCTGTGGTTGTGGTGCAGGCAGTTTGCATTCGTAGTAATCTGTGGCATTCGTGCATTCTCGTCAATCGTCAAAGAGTACTTTTTGTATACGGAAAATTCTCGTTTCGGATTACCTGTTGTATGTGTTTATTTGCGATTGTTTATTCTTTAATTTAACTATTACTATTTCGGCTCTCTTATATGCCATCGATGTTACCAAAGAGCAGAGACCTTATTACCAAGTGCTAGTGAACCTGTGCCACAACATCCTGAGAGGATCATACTGCCAAATTATTCAAGAGCACCTGATACACATTCACGCTGCATATTTACACAATACACATGTGTTAAACAAATAAATACAATATACAATATGATACAATTATGTGAAAAATAGTCAATAAATAATAAGAAGCAAAACTACAGTTTTTATTTTATTCATGATTCCTACCTAACCAAGTTTTTCCTAATAGTTATTCTTAAAAATCGCACCAAAGAAAATGAATTAGTTGTAATATTAATTCACTTCATACTGAGTTCATACTTAGTTCATAGGTTGACCTATGTTTAACTGAATATTAAACATAACCTCAAAAAAAAATTAGTTTTTCTAATTCCTAAAGTTCTCTGAAGTGTCCGTCAATAATCTTTGTTTTTACAGTCATTTACTTCCGAGTTCTTAGTCTAACTATGTATGGACGCAGAACAATGTCTTTTATTTACAAATTTAAAAATAAATCTTTACACGTAAAAAACCACGTAATTCGACTGAACTCACAAATTCCTGTATCTCTTGCACACTCGGGCACTTTACAGTATACCCAATATTACCCATCTGAATATATTTCTTAATATTTTATTGCCTTTTTACTTGAAACAATGTCAAAGCTTGATAAAATTCAGACACGTATAGATAAAATAATTCGTACGTGCGTGCCCAAGTTTATCCGCCTCTGTGCAGGGAGGGAGCTCAGATACTCAGATAAAATCTCCTCTTAATTTAAAATACATGAACGCAGTTTCGTATCGATAACTTCATAAACAAGTCCGGCATGCCCCGAAGGTTTGTCTCGGAGTTCGACGTCTTGTAGGGAGCCGTGATTATGACTACGTCTTCGGAACCAACAGACTGCGGCTATGCGCATGCAACGAAGAACTCTATTAAAATCCAGATTGTATCTCGATGTTGGCTGTCGCGTAATCGCTCTCGGCGGCTCGTCTGATAGCGATTGGGTTGGCATAAACATTGATGTCCATCGTTATATAGAGATTATTGAAATTGAAACATACAAGAGTTGCTTAACTTTAATCACTCAAATCGATTGTTTTCTTTTTAATTATATGGTTTTTTGTAAATAATTTTTCAACATTAATTTGTATTTGTTATTATTCTTTTTTAAATAATTGAAAATATATTATTTAATAGTGCAATAAAAAAAATATAATAATGAATTCCACTATCATTGTAGACTTAACTAATTATAGCCTTGACACACAATCGTAAGTATCCATTGGTTCACCAGAGCGTCCATCGGCTGTCTTCAGCAACTCGGGCCCCGAGGCGTCGGATGCAAGTAAAGGAATAATGGAAATTACCAGCCAGCCGCATTGCGATCCGCGAACGGTTATCGACGGAGCCAATTTGCCGAATAAACGGCCCGGTAATGATTGCTCCCCTTGCTCGCGGGTGAGCGATGTGAGCGCTGTGAGTGATTTGAGCCCCTACCATGAATTCTTTACGGGATCCGAAAGCAGATGTCGAAGCGAGATGCTGCCCTACACTCCCTTTAACGATGGCTCGCTTTGACAATCCGAGCTGCGTCAGACTTGATGACACAGCCCAAAGTGCTTTAGGATTTGCATACTGAACCGAATTGCCAGTAATCATAGTGTGTTTCGTATACCAACTGTCGATGCCACTCGCGATATTTTTCATGAATGACGGCCGATTTAGAGTTAAACACTGGTTGCGCCGATATTTATTCGGCAATGGCAGACGAAATTATTACATCTCCGCGCTGTGTTTTATTGCAAGGAAGGTACATTAGGTCCTGGCGGCATCTGCAGTCGTTAGCACTCACTATTCCACATTAGACCCGCGTGGTGGGTCATTCTCCCTTCCGATCTTACAAAAAAAAATATCTCCCTCCACCAGGCTCAGCAAAACCTGAGCGACGGAGCAGAAGAAGAATGTTACCACGCACTGCCGCTCGCGTTGCCGGTCATTTCACTTCCGTACAATAAAAACGCTTTTTTTGGAGAGCGCCGGGCAGCGCGAGTGGCAATGGCAGTGGTATGAGAAGTATCGTGTTTCCACGTCCTGCCCACTTCCCTGCTCACTTCGGCTGAATGTAAATGTAGTTTTATTAAGATCGCTTGTAATCGTCTTCAGTCGGCGATATGGAAAATGGTAACGATACTTTTTGAGTTAAATTCGACATAGTTTTATTTCTACGCTATACAGACGTCGGACTTAATCCGGATTTTATCTCACTCTTAAATCACGATACAGTTTTTGTAAGTAACATCTTGATTAAATTCAATTTGAAACTTGATTGAAATCAAACGCGCGTTCTTTTTGATAGCGGCCCTCTTTATCGAGGCCATCTTGCGCCTACACTAATAAAACTTGTAAAGCTGACATATCATCATCATAGCCTATTGATGTCCCCAGTACTGGGGCACAGGCCTTCCCAATAGATGGAGTAGGAACATTGACCCACCACGCGGGCCTAGTGTGGATTGCTGGGTGCTAACGACTGCAACAGCCTTCCGAAGCACGAAGGAAGGAGCTCGAGATAATAAGTTTATTGGTCACCCATCCAATGACCGACCATTGCGAAAGTTGCCTCACTTCCGCGATCGCAGGCCGAACGCGCTAACCACCTGCGCCATCGAGCTGCTCGCGATGGCATATACAAGTGGTGGAAATTGACCGGATCATAAATTCAAGAACATTTTGACAATGATTACGTGCCGATGCCGGCCAGCCGGCGACTAAGGCGAAGTGGCCATAGTTAAGTATCGACTTCCTCGTGTGGACAAAGCGTTTTATGACAATCGATAATTTACGGTATTTTATGTTATGTTACCGTACCGACTGCAACCGATCAGCGCAGCGTGGCAGCGCCCACTATTGAGGTTGTCCAACTTTCGATTGAAACTCGTGCACATTCAACGCGGTTTCCTTATTATAGTTACAGTCTGTTGATCTCTTTATGTGCTCGTTTCTGAGGTGAGATTTTAATTACCTTCTATGCAATACCAAAAAAAATATTCTATAAGTATATTTATTTAATTAAAAAAATGGGTGCGTGTACTTATGTAGGCGCGTGAGAAGTTATCCTTCTTTGGCATCGTTTAAAATAAGTTTTTAATTGCATGCAAATAATTAATTACAATAAATTAATAAAAAGTCTGGAAAAGGACACAGTCAATAAAGTTCAGTTCTAATTTGAAAAAATAAATAAATAATCAAAATATTCAATTAAAATCGCTACTGAATATAATTTATTAGAACATATGTGATTTGTATGAAACTCAAACACGTATTCCGAATATACAAACTAGAAACATGTGGATAAATATTATAAATATGAATACCTATAACTGTTACTTTATTACAAAAAATAAAGATGTGGTTTTTGGTTCTACTACACCAATGGTCAAGAGATGGCGCTGTAGTCTCCTGAATCGCGCTTTGGTTCCGTTGTTCCAGATTAATAAATACTTTTGATAGGCCTTCACAATGCAGTCGTTAGCACCCACTAAATAGAGATTCTATTTCTATTTTGTTTTTAGATTTTCTTAATGTGCGGTAAACACAAAAGTAACGCATGAAGTTGGTCGCTAAAGCGACCAACTTCATGCTGTTAAAATTTTGTGTTACAGTGATGCGCGCGCATCTTAAAATTTCACTCTCATAATTTTTTCATAACGCGCCTAAAGAAGTATAACTTCAATAATATTACATTTATGTTGAGATCGCATTGTGTGAAACTCTGATTTCGACACAGCGAATTGTCGCTGTGTGTATTAAGTGGTTCCTTATTTCTGGAATCTGAGTGACGAACAATGCGACCCTAACAAATAAATATGTATGTATAAAAAACATTCAAAATTAAAAAACAAATATGAGAATTAGTCAAAGTGGTCCACCTTAATAGCAGTTCACGCTTTTTGCTAGCCGCTTACTAAAAGTGCTCAATGTCTAACTTGGGACCAAATATAATAGAATTGATTTTCGGTCACATCTACCAGTGGCTTACAAATCAGTTCTTTAGACTTGTAATACTTAATTAAACACGATTCAATTAGAATTTCTGTTTACTTGACAAATTTTGCTTAATCACATCGTGTTGAAAATTCAACTGCTTTATTTAACTTTTTTACTTTAATTTGTTTTATTTTAATTCTGGAATTCTAGTCACTTAACGAAAAGATTAAGCACCTTGTATTATTAATCTTTAAAGGGCATTTTCCATTAAATATTTTGTAGTTGCAATCAAATATTTTGATTGTTTGAATATCTTGAAGTTTTTATCGAGTATTGTTGGTCTGGTCTCGCTTTGAAATCAATAATCATAAGATATGGAATAACGTCCGGCCCTCGGTATTGCAATGAAAATTTGAATTCGTTTAATCTAACTCGGGGCGAAATGAAATTCTCTTAACTGCGTGCTTTATCTACGAATTGCCGAGATGCCTTCCTGCGACAAGCTCTGTGCACTCGCCCCGTTATGCATGTCTGTGCGTCTAGCTGTTTGTAAGCCGTAGGTACACAGTTTACGCTGTTACTCATGCTTCCGAGATATATTCTGGCCGTGTGTAGGTACCACGTAACAAATCTGTGGCACTGAGAAACGCACCGTGACCAATCTACTTCTGCCGTTTTATGCTACTTTTCTCATTAAAGTTGCTGACTTAATTCTATTATCAGTCCTCTTCTTTTATTTATTGGCGTGCCAATATTGGAATAGCATCTTAAGTAACGTGAATTTAGCTCAATAAAAAAAAACATAATTATTTCCTCGAACAAGTTGTGAGTAGCCTTATTATTGGTTCTGTTGAGTGACAGCCTAATGACAGGTATTGCAAGCACCAACTCAGAATCCATTTATTTTTCATTCATAGCATCGATGATTGTTTTGTGGAAATGCCTATTTTCTTTTACATGCATTTTGTTTGGTCAACAGATTTTATATCTTCAATTCTTACATTGTCGCCTTTGTCAAACTGCCCCGACGACTGGTAATAAAAAAACAGCTCGTGTAAAAACACATACGCAACGTATTTTAAGAAGTTCTTGTTAGCGCTGGCCGCAGTTTCTGTCGGTTATTCTCGCATTTAATCACCGCCCGCGTCGTAATGGTTTATCTTATTTTTCCGGCAAGTGTTCCCGCGGTATGCGGATCGGTTGCAATTCCGGAAAAATGGCTCTGTCAACGACCGAACACCAGATATAGTGTGGGCCCGTTACCCGAGTGATCGACCTGGACTGCTGCCACGATCCCGGCGCCGGTACTAATTATAACAACGCCACCCCGCAGAATAAACAATTCCATGCTAATCGACCCAAGGAAGAAACTTGTTTACACCCTCCGCTACCTTTTACGATGTTTATTATTATGTATTTTGTGTTCAAGAGATCTGTCCTATCTTACTATTCTTCCTATTATAATAATATATATGCGAAAGTTTATGACCTTGATTAGGATATCATATACTTTTACCCTAAATGTAAGGTTCCTAGGTTCCTGGGTGGGATTCTCAAAAAATCTCAAAAAGCTAAAGTTAAGGTAAAGTCGCGGGCGGCCGCTAATCATACATACTTCGTAAACGTGTCATTTGCTTATATTTCGATCTAATGTTTTCTACTATTGAGACGTAGTACATGTTATTCTACTAAGTTAAAAATAAAATCTTAGAATTTCACTTATTTTTTTCGCCAATGAAAACGACAAGAAAAACAAGTAAGGTCGACAATAATTTGTGACGGCTGGAAATGATATACGCGCGGGAAATAAGTCAGCTGTATTTTTAACAATAATAATTGTCTTCCGTCACTTTCTCACTATACTGGAGCAGAGGCAGCTTTGATGTGAAAAATTTGTTCGGATTCTGGAGTGGGCATATTTGGGGCACGCGTCAACAGAGCACATTCGGGGCGAACTTATTCACGTGTGCGGAGTAGTCTACTTGATGCGAAGAATGGTTATCGCTACGATAACATGCCAGTCGTTTTCTCGCAGCTGTTTATTGCGGTCCTATACATTGATTCTCACGTATTTCAACCGGTACGAAAACCAATTAGCGATCGCTTATTCCATAATACATTGTGTGGAGTGTTGGCGGCGACGGGCTGCCAGTTTACCAACCTTGCGTTTAAAACTGTCAAGGCGTTCACTGAGCAGTTTTATGTGGCGTGTACAAAGCGCAGTAGAAGCTTGAACAGCCAGTGCAGTGACCCATCAACGGTGCGTGAAGTCGGGACGATGGTACGCAAAGGGGAGAGGTCCACTAGCGCCCTCTTCAGGACTCTAGCCGACACGCTTCGTTGGCAGTCCCTCCGCAGCGTCGTCACTATGGTACGTTTGGCGAGATACTGATGTTTTGCTTGGACGCTCCGGAACATTAAACGAACTCTTGTTAACGCAATTAAAATGTTTATTTATATCTTAAAAGTTTACATAAAAATGGTACATAAGTGTTCCGAATAAGCTTTCTATAATTACGCGTTTAATTAAATATGTCTGATGTAATACTTAGATGGTATTCTAGAGTAGTAGTCGAGAACTGCGCTTCTCAACCTGATCGGGAACTGTCTCACTAACCCGTCATGTTCTAAGCCTAATTGGGCTTGTTATCACACATGAAAGTATGTTCATAGTTACAATTCGATGAGAACCATAAACGCTATCTAAAATCAATAGGTTCGAGGTGACGAACAGTTATTAATGCGACATGCCGCTTCTGTTTTGACGTGTGCCCGGCTCACGGTGCGATCATGTGACCGCTGCGCGTAGTACACGTGCCCTTATCGGAATCCATCGGAATCTGTGACCCCCAAGGTCGGAGGTCACGTTGAGACACGAACGCTTTCGATGCCGTGTCAACTCTATTATCGCATTGCCACGCACCTCCTTACCTTATACAATCAGTTTGTTTGTAAACTAAACGTGGCTGCACGAATCTTAAATAAGAACTCTTCAACGATTATTATATTACCTGATGATAACAAAGACTTACATACATCTAGTTGTGTTATTTTTAGACTGGTATGTAAATAATATGTAGGTGTATTCAGAATCTCCTCTTATTGATAATTAGTTAGTCGTAAATGTCATAATGCGATGAAAGTTATTAAAAAAATGTGTTTTGTTTCTCATATTGATTTGAGAATATGAGGACCAATCAATCAATTTTCATTTCATCAATTTTCTCATAAATTTAATATTATTATTTTTATTTCAACTATAAAAAAACTCATACATACAAATAAAATTATAATAATGCTTATGAGCCCTTTTACAAAATTGCACCGCTGCATTACTAATCGGCAGATTTGCACTAGTATATATTGCATTTTACGGGTGATGTTTTGAGTCTTATAAAATAATTATTAATGAACTAATTTTAAAAATATATAGATATTGCAGTAGTTTAATTATGGTAGATTAGTTTTATGAAAGTTTTAGATAGTAATTCTATTTAATTCAATATCAAAATACGAGGTAAACCTGCATTATTTTTTGGGAAAACTCACGGAGGTTAGATGATTTTTTTGATAATTAATGAGATAGGAAATCAAAATTCTAATACATTATGTTACAACAAAAACATATTTCTGATGTCGTAGTAATTAATTTAATTAACCGTAGCTGCAGTAGAACGATCAGTACAAAAAAGGAAAATAGTATTTGCAAATATTCTACATTAACTTACAATAGGAAGAATAAATCTACTGTTTACCTCTATTGGAAATAGTCAAATTCTTTTCTAAGAGGGTAAACGAGGCGCTCAAAAATTTCTATTTTTTGCAAAGAATGTGAAAGGGCTCTTAAAAGAATGCAGTGTTTTACTGTAACAATAAAATGTAATTTTAGTACCTACTTGAATATATTAGATTTTTCCACAAACCAACACGAAATTAAAACTTGTTATGAATGTATCTTGTGTTGTTAAAGTACCTATTTCAATTGACATTGTTGCCTATATACATTGTTGTTCAGTAGCACTAGCATCTTACAAGGTTAATAACATTTGCAGTACCTATACCTACCACAGTGAACAACCACTGCGTTACCACGGAGATTTCCTAAAGCGTTAATGTATGGCAAATTGACAACCCGCTTTTTTGCTTTATTTTATTTTGATTTATTTAGCGTTTAACTTTAAGTCTTATTTATTGATTAGACGTAGCAAATCTCTTTATACAACTGAAAATGTAAAAACAAGATGGAACCAGGGCTATGTAGGTAGGATTCTAAGAAATAAATCCTGTATTGTTTTTTAAACGCCACGTGGAGTATTATTATTAATCTTTAACCTTAATCTTCTAATATTCGTCCTTGCCTTATTATTTTCTAAAGAAAATCTGGCAAATAACATTACCCCACCTGATAGATCTTTCATTTAATACAGAGCCACTTCAAAAAAACAATACATCGAAACGTGTGTGAAGTCTATCAATGCAGAAGATACTTCCCCAGATGAATACACCTAACAGTATCAGTGGAGTAAATGAAGTAATATTTAACTGACTCCGAGATCATGGCACTTGCACCAATACCGAAATATCGGTGAATCACAAAAAACATGACACTACATGGTAGTGATGACTCGAATACACCTCTGCTCTCCCTCTCCTAAAAGAGATTTGTTTAATACATATATATTATGAAGCTACTTCATGAACGCAACTGAAAATAAGCTGTTTCCTCATTTTGTTGTATTGCTAAACGAAGGAATGCCTCGTTAGGCCTCATCACAACTGACAGTTGTGATAGTGACGTCATCAGCGGTCGTAGCTTCGCGTCGCGCCGTGGGTTGGCTGCTAATCATACGTCGTCACTGCTTTTATTCTTGACAGTCTTCAGTCAAGTAGTCATTTTATAGTTAGTTTTTACACAATCTGATCATTTTATGTTATTTATGTGTGATTGATAAACATTATCTATGATACAACTTCAGCTTTATACTGACAGTGGATGACTTATCTATCACGATACAAACTTGTATGGCTAGTCACCAGGCAAAATATTTCAAAGCGCCTAATCTTAAGTGTATTTCGGTCTGTGTCTGGTAATATGCTGTCGTCAAGTGGACTACTCAATCCACTGTTAGCACTATCACGTCCCTCCGCATTTGTTACAACTAATTCAGACTCGATTATCCCCATTCCCTCTGATGTCGAGTGTGAGCACAATCCACAGTTGCGAAGATAGTGCGGCGGAAATTATGACGAATACAAAAAAACTTACTCTCTTTTTTTGGGTTCAAAGGGTGGCAAACCAGCATTTTGGCCTGCCTGATGGTAAGCGGCCACCGCAGTCTATAGACGCTTGCGATACCAAAAATGTCGCTCGCTCCGTTGTATACCTGACGCCATATCCCGCCCCGTAGAGCCGTGGAACCTTAATCACTGACAGAAACACAGCACCACCAAAAGGTGGTCTTATTTTACTGTGATCTTCTGTAAGGTGGAGATTACTTTCCCAGACGAGCGCTCTAATTATTTATTTTTTATATATGCGAAAATCCGCTATGCTCTGTACCTCCCTATCCAAGAAAAGATATCACTAAAAGGTAGTTGGTCTGTTTTAGTGAATTTACTTCTTAAAGCTCCAATTCAAATTGGTCTTTTGCAGACTTTCGCCAATGCCTGACCTTACTCACATCTTCTTTTCTTGTTGGTATTTTAAGCTGACATAATATATGTAATAAGTTTTTTTGTACTGTGATTTATGTCATGAATGCTACCTATTAACACATCATTTTTCAAACAGAAGAAAATATAACTTGCCTTTTACTTGAGTACACTACGTTACTATTTTAAGGATAATAATGTCAACTGTGTCAGTTTTAATAAGCGTGGGTTCAATTTTCACATCTACATATAACAAATTGGTTAAGTATTTTTTTTCACACGACATTGTTCAGAGGGTCTAATACTCTCTTCTCCGTAACGAACTTTCGAACGAAGGTAAAACAAAATTTTATGTCGTCCATTTGAGGTTTAGTATGAAAGATAAATCTTTTTCGACAAATAAAAGAGCTTTTAATTTTCCAAAAAAGATGATCCATCGAATAAATTTTCGTCGTGTTCTAAATCAATTTAGGTTTATACTTGGCTTACAACGACTTGCAAAATGTCAGACAAGTAATTTTCTCTATGCCCACAAACTAAACTAAGTTTACTCGTACAAGAATTCCAGATTTCTATTATAGCCGGCTGCGAAGACTATCCTCGCATTCGACAAATTGACTTCGCCATATAATTGTGTGGAGTCTAAAGCAAGACCAGTGTATCGGCATTGCTGCGGCATCGTATGGGTTGATCAGTGTTCGATTCCCTATCGTGTCGCGCGAATCGCGCAATTCGTTGAGTCGGCACAGCAGCAGCCAGTCGACGGGCGGACGGTCGGACGGGCGGCATGTCGTATCGCAGCCGCCATCCGCAGAGATGACTATGCCCGCTCTCATTCATTAGAGGGGAGAGGGGGCCGGGCGCAAGACGTCGCGCGCCGCCCGACTATATCGATTTTGTACCTCCATCCCTCCCCGCCGGCACCACACGCCCGCGCTTTCAGCATCCCAGCTCGAGTGCTCTCCTCTCGCGGCTACCGGACACCTCCGACAGAAACTACGCCTTAACGATATAGCGCCACAGCTCAAAATTCCGAGCCCCGACCTGCGCTTCGCATACACACACCGATCCCTAATGGACTCTCCTAGCGAAAGTCACTCGGTCGAGATTGCAATGCCACCGTCTCCGTCCACACTGATGGAAAAAATAAGCTTTTTGTTACAATTAAAATGGTAAATCAAACCAATTTTAGTAATTGCGATGCCAAACTTTGAAGTGGTGGCTCGCACTCTGAGGAGATTTAAACGCTTATGACTTTAATGGGGTGCGAGCGTGTCATAGGTCATTTCCTAATTTTTGTCATATTCCATATTAGTAACTTGGTTTATTGACAGTTTCTGTTTAATTTTGGCGGAGCCACATACGTATTATTTGAGACTGCTGAATATTAATATTTTGTGAAATACATAATATTTCATTTAATTATCCCAACAAGCCAAAGTGATGCGAGAGGGGGTTTATAAAATAAATATACATCATACATTGTTTGTTGGAAATGTGACTCGTTGGTTTCGGGTAATCCTTTTGGATAGCCTCGCCGCCCTCGCCCTTATTATTACTGCCCAAAATAGATATAGCCCACTAAGTCCCAATACAAAAAGTGAAGACATAGAAATTCTTCTGTCTTCACTTTTTGTATTCAGAATGTATTGTGTCTAACAATGGATCATATATCCCGTCATTATATTGTACGAGATTTTGTTGAGTAGTGTTTCGCTTATTCTTAGAACATATTATTTTTTGTCTGTTTCATTCGCAAGCAGTATATAAACCGTCATTACCTTAATCCCTATTGATTGTCATATTTAATGTAACAAATTTACAAAATTACTAAATCACGCATTTTTGTAAAAAAAGTAACTCCTGATAATGTAAATACATAAATAGACTTATCACCATAACGCGATACGAAAAAGCTATTATCGTGTTGATAAAAACAATGGACTCGCAATGCGAGTTTGATTTCTGACCGGAGACAACGCGGCCCGCGTTGCGGTAGGTCCGCGAATGCATCCTCCGTTCGGTGAGCGGTATGCGTTTTGCATATATACAGTACACAGGCATCTACCTATACAGTACACAGGCATCCATACGCCAGCGATTGTGTCTGTATTATATAAGTGCAGTAACAGCAAACTGGACTATACGTGATCATCTGTTCTGTACTTCCCCTCTCCACAATATAAACATCCTCTTAGCTCTCATGGCGGATTATTTTGCGAAACCAACACAATTACGTGGGCAGATGGTTTCTTAGTAACTTTCAGTTGCAGGATAGCTGTATATATTTTTTCAATTCTGCACAGAATAGACAGATATAAATAGAAAAGTCTGCATGGTACAACATAAACAAGAATAGAATGTAAATGACTGAAAAAATACATTTGCTAAATATTTGTAAGAGGATTACGTCAAAGTCCCGAACTGATCTCGTCACATTTATTTATGACGACGATTAATAGTACCGAAGGTGCAGAAATCAGAATTTTAAGTCTGAAATTAGAAATATATACTATTATTTAGGTTTATTAAAATTAAAGTGTTAATAAAGTTGATGCTGTCACTTTTTTGCACTAGAACTGCAATAGAATTAGATGATGTTCCTTTGATCAGCATCAGCATCTTTGCATCAGTGCGGCCGTTTCACAATTTTATTCATTACTGTAGCTGACCTGGCATACTTTATACCACTTACAGTCGGTCGGAGAGTATCGTAAGCTTTTGTTTAATTTAGGGTTTTAATAACGAAATAAAAAATCAATAGAAATATATATATATTAAGAAAATAAAAATTGAAAACAATGAATGGTACAAAAGACACGATCCTAAATTTAGAACTTTAAGGCGCTGCGCAAACGTGGACACTTTTCTGTCTTGTGTCGGATGCAAGCTACCAATGAATATTTGATATCTGTAGAATATTTGATGTCTAGTGAAATCAGCCCTGCACAGATGTAAACATTTTTATGTAACGGACTAGCAACTACGGTTACCAGTGACTAGAAGTAGCAACTGGCGACTGTGTCGGACCCCCGCTACAGGACGCAGCATCTACGGTTTCCTGTGAAAATGTGTTTTGTCCGTAAGAAAAAGGATTAAATTAGCGCAGCCCCTAAGTTATCCACATAATATGTCTTCTTAGCGGCCAAAATTTATTATTATCTTACCTTTTTTTTTTGGAAAAATCGGGAATGCATAGATGAAGAGCACACTTTCGATTAAACAAAAATTTAAAGTAATTTGGAGAACATGATAGCCGCTTGATAGGAACAGGGCTTTTACCATATTTAGCAATCGTTTGGAGAAATCTTCTGCGGATTGATCGTTCAGCAATGTTAGACATTTTGCTGAATTTTTATCACATAGCGCTACAAAGTAATGCGCGTGCATACTTTTCGGCGATTCATTTTTATTTATTTGGAAGACTAGAGGTGCCCTGCGGTTTCACCCGCATTAAAATGAGGTTAAAGTGGGTCACCCTTAAAAGACACATGCTGTCGCGGATTTTTTATAAAACTTTTAAAGGGGAACAATTTCGTTAAACAATGATTTTTGTGTAACTTTTACCGTTTACGCAGCGCACTCATCAAAAGCTCTCAAATGGAATATGTTTCACCGTTTTTACAACATTTTTCATTTGCCTATTGCTCGTAGAGCGCAAATGTTAAATAAGCCTTGATAATTGCAGTATCCAGCACACAAATAGTTATGTTTTTATTTATTTTTTAAGCATTTAACTGCTAGATGTTTAAATCTAAAGAAAAGTTTACTAGAAAAAAATCCACGCGGACCAGGCAGCGGACGGGACTCGAACCCGCATCCTTCGCAATCCGGGCGAATGCACTGACCATTATGCTACCACGGCTCTATTCGCCGCGTCGAAATTTTCCTAGCCTTAAGCTGCAAGGCAGCGCTATCTCTTCGCATTGTAGGTAACCCACAATGTCAAATGAATACTTTTTCAAGTATTAAACATTTGAAAGAAGAAATAGCAATTATAGTTATGTTTTTATTTATTTTTTAAGCATTTAACTGCTAGACGCTTAAATGCTTAAATAGGGCCGTGGTAGCATAATGGTCAGTGCATTCGCCCGGATTGCGAAGGATGCGGGTTCGAGTCCCGTCCGCTGCCTGGTCCGCGTGGATTTTTTGTTCTAGTAAACTTTTTTTATAGTAAACTTTTCTTAAGATTTAAACACAAATAGTTATTTAAATCGGACCACAGTAGTTCCTGAGATTAGCGCATTCAACCATAATATTTAGTATAAAATTTAGAATCGGGAAACACATTAGCTTTTTCGCTTAGTAGAGTGAATCGGTATTGTGACTAAAATAAATGTACCAGTTATTAACGGAAACATTGATCAAAATTTATTTATCAATTTCGGAAGATGTTTTCATTTATCTTATGAATATATTATCGTAAAGAAATTGCAATAAAAAGTTTCGTTACATATTCCTTGTAAAACATCGTCTGAACAAATGGGTTTTTTAAATTAATGACGTGTCATATGTCGTTAATAAGTGAAACATGTAGTTTGTCAAAATATAAATTCTAAACGATCTGTCATACTGCTAATAATATAAAATAGCAAATAAATTACACATTGCGATCGTAAATGTTGTTATTGTAAAAACATCTTCACTGTTTACACGACCGATTTAATAAAATGGATAATTATATTAAATGCACTGTAATGATTACTAAATGATAATGTGTTTATTATGAAATGTACAATCAAAGGCGTCTGGATCGGCCTCAACGAGGGGAAAGCTTGGGGTAGGTTATGGCATTGCAACCAGCGATTTGTCGACTGTAAGGGAGGTTTAGCATAAGTATACATCGCTCCTAGCATGCAGCCCTCGATGTGTCTGTCTAGCCGCTGAATTTATGAATGCCGAGCGGTAATTATGACGTTATGTGCGTGCGTTTATGGCGGTAGGTACTGTCGCAGTTAGCTTCTGGATGTTATATATCTTTTTCATGAGAAACAAACTCCACTCGCACTGATTTATCGCGCCACTATCACGGCACCCCACTTTAGTTTGTCAAGTATCGATCACAGCCATTTTAGTTTGTTATAAATTTTTAATTGCTTATCTAGACCGGTGCTGAGTTGAAAATAAACGTAAGATCGATATGGCTACGACCGTTTCCAACTCTGCTTACCTCTAGTTTCTTCAAAGTTGAATGCGGACGTCTGCTACAATTTATGACCTCCCGATTCCATCTCATAGCTGCGTGGAGTCGTGGAGCCGCCTGTCGGCGTTCGCTCAATGTATTCGTTGTCGGACTCGTAGGATGATGATTAAAAAAGCGTGCGTGCCCACTTGACGCAGTGTGTTAGCTTTTTGCGTCAAGTGTGCGATGCTGTGGCACTAATGAAACGGGTCCCGGCGTGTGCGTCGCCGGCGCGGCCTACGTACGCGGGCCTTGCATTGGGTCGGGTCAGTGAACTCCGCCCGCCCACTATCGGGGTAAATATGCCGAATGCACACAGATGCGCGCGCCGGCCCCTCACAGCCCCGCCGCCGTCGACGTTGCACTCCGCACGCATCAGGGGGTTCAATCTTAGTACAATTGTTCAGGCCTCATATTGAATATAACATAGTAAAATTCGAAAGCTTGTTGACTTTCAATATATTGGACGAAACATAGTAATATTTTATTTTATCGTATTATAATAATGAGTCTCTAACTACGACGTCCAGGTGGCAGCTTATTGCGAAGAAATTCATTTTTTTTTCAATAGATGTCGCTAGGTGCGCTTAAAAGTGATGTCATGTAAACTAAAATTTTACTATTTTAGTAGAAATTTAAAGTTCTGTAATGTGTATCTTATTTTTGATGCGTTTATTATTTTTTACTTAATTTAAAGTTTCATCAATAAATAATTTGATTGTATAACAAATTGCTAATTTAATAATTTACAAAGTTGGATTTTTGATGCTATTTCGTCGAGGGTGGTTTCCGACCTTTTTAAATATTCACGGATTGAATCATAGT